ACTAATCAAGGAGACTTTTCTCTTTGGGGCTCCCACACCCTTTCTCATTTCTATGGAGTACCTCTGAAGGCAGGGCTCTAACAAATCAAGATCATTCCCTTTATCACTTTGGACAAAATGAAATTTTCTGGTCTGGGTGTCTGAAAATAGCTCCTGATTAAAGAATTACCAATTTAGCTGGAAAAGGGCCTCGGAGAATAGGATAATCCCCTCATCTTGCAGATGGGGAAACTGAATTCCAAGATCACACAGGTAGTAACTGGAAGATCTGGAATTTGTACCCAAATCCTGTGACTCTCTATCTAGCCATCTTTTCACTTCATGGCACCGTTGTCTTTGTCTGTCTTTTTGATACTGACTCACTAAAAAAGATGGAGAGGCAGTGAGGTATAGCACGTAAAGAACCTGCCTGAGGAGTGAGGAAGCCCCGTATTTGGGTCCTGCCTCTGAAACATACAACCCGTGGAAACCTGGGCAAGCTGTCTAACCCAGCAGTCCCCAGGCAATTCTAAGGCAACAAATTCCCAAAGAGCCTCAGAGTCACAATGGGAAAGGAGGATCTTCATTGGGAGTCCCCATACCAGTGAAATCATAGATCCAGTATATATGTATGTAGGTGTGCTTGTACATACTTATAGAGGCAGGTAGGTAGCACAGTGGATAGAGTATCAGACCTGGAGTTAGAAAGACTCATCTTTCTGAGTTCAAATCTGGCCTCAGACACTTCCTAGCTGTGTGACCCTAAGCAAGTCACTTAACCCTGTTTGCCTCAGTTTCCTCATCTGTAAAATGAGCTGTAGAAGGAAATGGCAAACCACTCTAGTGTCTTTGACAAGAAAACCCCGAATGAGGTCATGAAGAGTCAGGCATAACTAAAACGAATGAACAACAACAACATACACACACACATACATATATACATATAATGTGATACATGTATTTATATACATGGGTTTATGAGTGTATATATATATATATATGAACATGTGTATATATACATATATACATATGTATGTGTGTGTGTTTATATATGTGTGTGTGTGTGAGTGTGTGTGCATGTGTATGTATCCTTCATCTATTCTGCAAAACAGAATCCAGAACTGCTCATTAAGATGAGACATGAGAGATCATAGAAGAGCTCAGCTCTCCCACATATACTACAGCAAAATTTTTTAAAGTAGTCCACATTCAATAATGATAGAGAAATTTAAAAAGAAACAAAAATATGCTCCTTCATCCAACCCAGGATTCTTTTTTCTTTTAGCTGTGGCAGAAGAAAGCCAGAAGCCTATAGAAATTGAGAAGTCGCTATGAGGTCAGGTAAACAAGCCTGAAATGGACCAATATTCTGACCAGGGACATGCAGGAGGTCATTAGACCATGGGCTTACTCCATCTTAATGGACTTAAGGGAGGGAAAAAAAAGTCAGGGAACAAGGAATATAGCGTGGAAAATGGGGAACAAAGGGAGAAAATGACTACTCACAATTGGAGGGTGAGACAAGAAGGGCATACAACATGGAGGACAGAAGGGAGCAATGAATGTCTTCTTGACTTTACTCTTATTTGGGTGAAAGGAAGGTAGAACACACTCTACCCTCCGCTACCACCACGCTCACGCATATACATGTAAAAGAATTTAGTGTGACAATACATTTAAGTGAAAAGCAAAATAGAAGACAGGAAGAGAGGAGGGTTAAGAGGAAGGAAAGAGTCAGGTAAAGAGTAGATAACACGCAAAACACACAAACTTTTGGAGAGCAGATCATAAGGAGGGAGAAAGAAAAATGGAAGGAAGGGAGGGAGAGCTAGTGATTGAGGTCTGGGCTATATGAAGAGAGGATATATAAAGAGGGAGGACAAACAACTTCAAATACACACACACACACACACACACACGTATATGTTCCTTCCTTTTTGACCACCTTTTTTTTATAAAGATGGTAAAAGGACAAAAAATAGGGAAAAAGTTTAAGAGGATATGATGAAGGAACATATACAATTACTAATCATTATCATGAATATGAATGGGATTAATTCACTCATAAAAGCAAAGACAGATTAAATAAAATAATATAAAGTATGCAATTTACAATAAAAGCCCTTGAACATAGAGATAAATTGCTGCAAAATTTGTGATACTTCATGAAAATATCAAAGAGCAAAGAACAGGAGTGGCAATCATTATCTTAGACAAGGCAATAGGGTAAATAGATGAGGTTTAAATAGTTTAACATGGAAACTATGTTATGCTTAAAGCATATAATTAAATAATTAAAGCATATAATATAAATATTTAACCTTTTATGAACAAAATAGCATCATATTGTCATAGCTAATAACAGGAAGTATGCATTAAGTCCTTCCTATGTGTCGGGCATTGTTCTAAGCATTGCACATACAAAGAAAGACAAAAATCATGGTCCGTGCCCTAAAGGAATTCATATTCTAATGAGAGGAATAAAAAACAAACAACTATGTCAGACAAGATGTGTACAGTATAAATGGGAGAATTTAAATATGTTAAGGAAAATTTGATCAAATTACAAGAAGAAATAGACAGTAAAATTATAATAGTCAAAGACCTCAGTGTAAGCCTTTCAGACCCAGACAAGCCATTTTTTCTTGCTTAGGCAGTTGGGGTTAAGTGACTCGCCCAGGGTCACACAGCTAGTAAGTGTCAAGTGTTTGGTCTGAGACCTAATTTGAACTCAGGTCCTCCTGACTTCAGGGCCAGTGCTCTATCCACTGTGCCACCTAGCTGCCCCAAGACAAGCCATTTTTAAAAAAGATGAACAAGAAAGAGATTAAGGACCTGAATAAAATTTTATAAAAGTTAGGTATACTACATCTCTGACAACTAGTGAATGGGAATACAAAGGAATATATAGGTATCTTGGTATATGCAGCACTTTAATGAAAATCAACCACTTGTCTAGGGCAAAAAAAAATGTATACATGAAAACAGAAAACCAAAAATATTAAACATATCCTTTTGGAAAAGGATTCAAACTTAATGAGATGCTAAATAAAAATTGGTTGGTCAAAGAACAAATCATAGAGATAACAGATAACTTAATCAAAGAAAATTACAAAAATTCAACAGACCACAATTCTGGGGATGCATCCAAAACAGTATGTAAGAAATAATTTATATCTAAACATTTTCAAAAGAGAGAAAAAACAAATCAATTAATTGAGCGTGCAATAAAAATTATGAAAACAAACAAATAAAAAAACAAGGAAACAGAAAAATTTCTAAAATGAATTGAAATTATTAACTTCTGTAAAGTAGAATCACATAAAAATAAATCCACAAAAAGCATCAGACTTTTTATATATTACCAACAATACCCAGTCTAAAGATATGGAAAAAGAAATGCCATTCAAAAAAACTACAGAATGTATAGAATGTTTGGGATTCATCTATTAAGATATATACACTATTTGTATTAAAACAACTACAAAACAAAAGAATGATAGAGATTAATTGTTAATAGTTGGGTCTTGGCAACATAATAACAATAATAAAACTTCCTAATTAGTTTATACATTCAATGCCAAATCAACCAATCTAACAAAGACTTATTTTACATAATTAGAAAATAATGATAATGAAATTCAGTGGAAATACAATGTAAACAGAAAGAACAACCACCAAAAGAAGTGAATGTTTAGAAATTTCTGAAAAACAAACGTGACTCCAAAGAAAAGACATGAGGAGACTTCTCTTCCCCACACCTTCACAGAGGTATGATGTTTACAAGTGTGGAACATTGCACATATTTTCAGATATTTTTTGTTTTGATCACTTATGTTGATTTTCCCTCTTCTTTTTCCTTTTTGTCTTTGATCTTGTCTTTCCTTTTTGACATGTTGATCAGTGGAACAGATTAAATACATAAGATGCAGAAGTAAATGAACATAGTAGCACAGTACTATACCTGATAAATCTATAATCTAATATACTCAAATAATCTATTCAAGAAAAATTGCAAGGAAAATTGAGAAGTTGTCTAATGCAATTTTGGTTCAGACCAACAAATCATTGTATACTACAAAATAAGTTCCAAATGGATTTATGACCTACAGTAATGTCTGCCATAGATAAATTATATGAGCAGAGAGGGAGAAACTGTGGGTAAGGGAAGAATTTTTCACAAAATAAGGGATAAATAGCATCAAAGAAAATAAAAATGGACAAATCTGAATATATAAAATTGCAAAGGTTTTATGCAGACAAATATCAATACAATTCACATTAGGAAAAATTAATTAGGAAAAATAGTTCTCAAAGGATGAAATTCAAGCTATCAATAATCACATAAAAATGTTCCAAATCATCAATACAAGAAATTCAAATAAAAATAATTCTGAGTTCCCTTCCACCTTATACCAACTAAATTTCCAAAGAAAAATGATTGTTGGAGCAGATGGGAGAATACAAGAACACTAATCAACCACTGGTAGGGCCTTGAATTGATATGATCATTCTGCAAAGTAATTTAGAACTGTACCCGAAATGTCAATGAACTGTGGCCCAATAAGTGGGATAAAAATATCCCACTGAATTTATATCCCCAAAGAGATTAAAAAAAACAGGGAAAATAGTTAGTGGTATAAAAACTAATTATAGCAGCCATTTTTCTAACGTCAAAATTCTGGAAACTGGGGGGGGGCAGAGCATACCCATCAATTAAGGACTCATGGAACAAATTAGGGCCTATCAATATAACGGAAAGTATTATGCTAAAAGAAATGGTTTGTGTGTGTACGTGTGTATGTATACATATATATGCATATAAATATTTTTAACAAGTTGCACATGTAGCTGATTCATGGTTGCATATGAAATCCTCATTTTCCATACTTCTTTTTAAGTGGAGATGATTATGTTTGTGAACTTCATAATGAAAAAAGAAAATTAAAAAACAAACAAGAAAATACAGGCTCAACTTTTAAATACCTCTTGCTATAATGCAAAAATGAGGAAAGTCTTACCTAGTTTTGGTAGAGAATAGGGCACTTTGAAGTAGTCTTCATAAAACTCTATCAATCTCTTTGTTATATGGAGAGCATAATCCCCAGATCCTCTTCTGACTGCATCAGGTCTTGCATATAATCGCACCTGATTAGAAACAAGTAGGAAAAAGAAAGAAAGAAAGAAAGAAGAGGTTACATCAGCCTCCGGGTATCAGCCTTCTGCCTTTATTGCAAAGATGAGCCAACACAAATCACTTTTTTATGTTCTAAAAGCCAGAAGAGAATTCCTGTTCATATATCAAAGCAAGCTGTGGCTGAAGAGACAGAACTTAAACAATTAAGGTAAAAAAGTTGAGGAAAGCATGATTCCTTGTTTTTTTTACTTGCTTGTCAAATGGAAGATTTATACACCTGGCATCAAAATCAATATTGAAAAGCAATCACTCACATGTGTTTGCTAGAGATATGATGGTACAGTGGATTAGGATAATGGGTCTCTTTGCCTACTTTGAATGTAGGCAGGATACTGTGGCTCAGGAGGAGAGGGAGTTCATGGTTTGTTAAAGAAACATTTTATCGAGCTTCAGGAGCATTACTACGTTGAATGAAAAATATAATTCACATTTCCCACTTTTCTTCAGCACTGACTATCATTATCCTCCATGGGTAAGCTAAGGTTGAGAGGAAACCATTTGTAAATTCTTTCATGGACATAAGCAATTAACATTCCTGAAGTCAATCCATAAAGGCTCCAGGCCTAGGAAACCAAAAGGGACAGATAAGGTGAAGTAATCCATATTTCTAACACAACTTGGCTATTTAATACTCATCTTAAATCAAGTGCTATATATTACCTAGTACTCACTAGAAAGCGCCTAAGAAAAGTCACATAGAACTCTATAAAAACTGTTAACAATTTAGAGAAAGAAAAAAAAAGATTCAAATCAAATTATTTCTTTTATTAAAAACAAAAACCTTTAAACAGTATGGTTGGTTTTTGCAACACACTCACACACACACACACACACACACATATACACACCCTCCTTGGGCTAAGCTATTTTTCATTTACCTTCTCCCTAATCTTCATATCACCACCCAGGAAGGTTTAGTCAATAGGTCAAAAGTTTCAGAATAGGAAGACCTGATGACTTGGGCCAGGTACAAGTTAGCCCCAGATGCAAAATTTACAACCTAGAGAAAATAAATCAGATGTTTTTTTTTCTCCCTAAAAATGTTTTTTACTAAATATAGACAATTAGCAAATATATACAGGTTCAATTCTCTACATTCCCACCTGCAAGGATGAACTCAGGTCGAAAATCTATATACACTATGTGGCAATAAATAGCCAAATCTAAGGAACTACCAACCCGTCTTAATAATGGCTATATCAGATTCTCCAAAAGAGATTTAGCCTATCCCCATTCTGGAATAACAGCTGAAAATGGGCTTAAAATCATTAATGACTTGCTGCCTAATCAACAAGGCAGTGGCAAACAAATATCCCCTAAGATATTCTACCCCTTGTTCTCTGATCTTCACAGTCACTCCAAGGACTTGGGTTATATTTCATTTCTAACAGAAAATAACCCAGACTTCAGTTCCAAATATTAGGGGGTGGGGAAACCAGGTGGAATAGTAGATAAGGCAAAATCCAGGAGCATACTGGAGCTATCTTGTACTCAGCTCACAAAAGCCCATTTTAAAACTTTGTGTGTGAGCATTTACAGCTAAGAAATTGGAAAAAGCTAAAAATCAGGGCTTGATTTATTACTTTCTTAATTGTTTAGACCAACAAAAATGGAAAAATGTAAATAATATGTATTAAACTTAAAATAGTGGCATGCATAAAAATTTTCCCCAGACAGCCAGTTGTTAAACATTTACTAGCACAAAACTGGCAAAAATCCCAACAAAGCAAAAAAAGGAGAAAAAAGCCATCACTGCCTAAAAACATAACAAAGACCCAAAATTAGATTAGCCTTGGTTTTTCCAAATTATAAGCCAGTCAGAAAGTTACAATGAAACTAGAGGCCAAAAGAAAATAATACCAGTAACACAGTAGCCAGGAATAGAGGAAGGATTACAGTCAGGAGAATGTGAGGCAGGTAGACTCAGCAGCAGGTCTATTACGTCAAAATACGAGCAGAATCAGAGGAGAGAAAAGTTCATCTTCAAGAGACATTGCAAAAGTGAAACTGATACATCTTGGCGACAAATTAGAAAAGGGGGGAGGCAGCGTTAGAAGTTAAGCTGACACCTAGGTTATGAGCCTGAAGGACTGGGAAAATGGTGTTACCCTCTACAATAATAGGAACATTAGGAGGTAGGAGAGTTTTGGGGAAAAGATAATGAGTTTAGTTTTGAACATGATGAGGTTAAGATATCTACTGGACATCCAGTTTAAGATGTCTTAAAAGGCAGTTGAAGGTGTGAGATTGGAGGTCAGCAGAGAGGTTGGGTCAGGATACATAGATTTGAGGATTGTAATTAAATCCATGGGAGTTGATGAGATGACCAATTGAAGTGGTATAGAGGGAGAAGAAAAGAGGGCCCAGTTCAGAACCCTGAGGGATACCTATGGTTAAAGAGTGTAATCTGGGTGAGCATCCAGCAAAGGAGATTGAGAAAGAAAAGTCAGATAGGTAAAAGAAGAATCAGGATAGAGTATGAGCAGTGTCAAAGCCTTCAAGGAGATCAAACAGAATGAGAATTGAGAAGAGGCCACTTGGATTTGGCAACTAAGAGATCAGTGGTAATACTGGAGAGAGCAGTTTTGGTGGAATGATAAGATCCAAAGTCAGACTGTAAGGGAGAGGAGGAAAAATGGAGGCACCTATGATAGACAGCCTGTTTAAATACTTTAGCCATAAAATATATTATTTTATGATATATATATAATATATATATTTATATGTAATATAAATATATATATAATATATATATTTATGATATATCTATAAATATATATATATATAATATATATTATAATTTAGCCAGAAAATATATTAGGACAATAGTATGGATGGAAGGATTAAGTCAGGGATTTTTTCAGGATGAAAGAGACATGGACATATTTTAGGCAGTAGGAAATGAGCCAGTAGACAGTCAGAGATTGAAAGTCACCAATAGAATGGGGATAACAGAGGGGGCACTCTGTTGAAAGAGATGGAATAGAATGGGATCATTTAAGGAGCATGGCCTTGTTAAGGAATAAAGCTGTCTCATCATGTGAGACAGGGGTGACAGAAGAGATAGTGGTAGAAGACATAATGTGAAATGAGGAAGAGGGAAGAAGAAAGAGCTTATGGTGAATGGCCTCAATTTTTCTCAGCGGGGTGGGGGGGGGTGGGGGGGGGAGGAGCCATAGGAGGCTTAAGGAAGGATGAAAAGGTTTGGAAGAGCTACTATAAAGAGGAGGATAGGGTGTTGATAGTATGATTGTCTATCAGCAGTAATGACTCACTTGAGGTTGTATAAGATAAACATGCAATGGATTCAACCAGAAAAGTTGCATGAGATGCAAGGCCTGAGGTCAAGGAGAAGGTTATTCCTCTTCGCACCAGAGATTCTCCACATCTCAGTCGGGAGATCAGCTGGCAGCAGAAGATGAAAGTTTCTTTGTGCTAGCACAGATGAAAGTTGTCACTTTAGGGCAAATGGAAGATGCTCAGCCCAGGCCCTTGCCACCTTCTCTCAGCAGGAAATGGAAAGTACAAGGTGAGAGGCCAAAAGAAAGTCTGGCTCCTCTTCTCACCAGAAGCTGGAGGTCAGACATTAGCAGGAAGTAGCAGACCTCCTGCACAGAGGAAGTCACTTTGGGGCCAATGGAAGATGCTCACCTGGCCCCTCGCCACTTTCCCTCAAAGGACCCACTGCAAAGCAAAGTGACCAGAATAGCCCATTGAAATACACATCAATAAAGTTCTGCCACTTATTCGACTGGACCCCTTGACAGCATCAGCAAGTGAATCTCCAGGCTACTAACCACTCATTGAGACAAACAGCAACAATCCCTGGGAGGACTGCACTAGTACTCAAGGATTCATCAGAGACAGTTAAACTCAGTGAAGAACTAGCATGAGATAACATGCCCACAACAGGGGAAGCCACCCACAAAACAAGCACCAGAGTAGTTTAGCATGTCCAGATATTTACAAGATGTCCATGTGATCATAGCAGACAATGGCAGAGAAAGGGGTCTCACTGGGGATATCACACTCAGAGAGGTCAGTTACCATTTCAGAAAGTGAGCTGCCACCAGTGGCCCCAAGCTTAGAACATTCCTGGCCTCCGCCTATCCTATTAAAGTTCATGTCTGCTATGACACAAGGAAGGAAGGAAATATGAATATTCTGGGCAATCATTGCAGCAATGTGGTTCCCTAAACTGGGAGCTTCCCCAGGCAGAAGAAAGTCCAGTTTCCCCCTTTCCTCTTCACATAACTGGGCAGAGCCAATTATGGTTGCTGCTTCAAAATCCCTGCCTCAGTCCCACAACACAAGCCCATGGATCAGCTTGTGTGCCTTACGTTAACATGGAGACAGGTGGAGGAAGAGTTCTGAGAAAGTGCATTTAAGTATTTGAATTCTCAAGTGTGACTACTCTGTTAAGCTTCTTGCTTTATTGTCTTGTGAATTGAACTGTAATTTCTCTACCTCTAGTGCATAACTCTTTAGGGTTTTTGTTTTTGTTTTTGTTAGTAAATACTGGATAAAATATTTATTTAGTTCACCATTTTGTTGCTCATTTGACCAATGATTGAAGTTCAATCATTGACCAAAAAGGCAAGGTGCTTAAAAAGAATCTAAGAATCATTGGTCTTCCAGGGAAAAAAAAATATGGCAAATCAAAACCTAATCATTGTAATGGCAAAGGAAAAAAAAGCTAAGCAGAACTGAGTAGAGAAAAGAAAGGACCAATCAAAATAATGTATGGATCACCTTTAGGAAGAAAAATAATACTATGCTTCAAATTCCAAGACACATGGTGGTCGTTTTTATCAGTTCCAATGTCACAAGAAAGACGCCCTTGTATGGAAGGGAAATTTGAATAGCATAAAATTGTTTCAAACACACTAGAAACTGGGAAGGAAATTGAATAATTTCTTCCTAATCAAAGAAGCTTAAGATACAAGCAAAA